GAGGAGGACAAAAATGCATTTTTGGCATGGAAATTCAGAGAACATTTACCTACAACCTGGTCAAGAAGGCCGCAACATCACAGTGCAGTGCAAGCTTTGCTTACCGTCAACGAAGCTGCTTTCAGCATCGTGGGACTCCACGTCTAATTTGAAGAAGCATCTTGAGGTAAGTTGGCTAATTAGCATTAACAGAGAAATGACCCCGGCAGCTATTAATCCAGCTCTGCCGGCTGAGAGTGCTCACATGCGGGGAAAGAAAGGAGGGTTAATGTGAAAGGAGGGTTAATGTCCGCCGGCTCGCATGTTGCTTGTCCTACACTCACAGCGCATCAACAAAGCGTTCCAGAGCACGAAAGGGTCAATAACCAGAAAACTCCATGGGATTCATACAGTATGCACGACAGCAGATATATGGACTGCCCACCATAGGAGTTATTTAGGGATCACTTGTCACTGGATTGAGCCAGAGACATTGGAGAGGAAATCGGCAGCGTTGGCATGTGAAAAAATAAGCGGACGCCACACACACGATGTCATTGCAACAAAAATTAGCGAGATACATGGTGCGTTTCAAATCCAGGGCAAAGTCACAGCAACAGTGACTGACAATGGAAGCAATTTTGTCAAAGCTTTCAGAGAATATGGAGCATCGGATGTAGAAGAGAACACAGATGATGTGCAATTTGCAGATGTTGCTGCAATTCTTGACGAGGTCCAGGAGGAGCAAGATGAGAACTTTTATTTACCCCCACACCAGCGATGCGCAGCTCACACCCTTAACCTGATCGCCACAAATGATCTGGATAAGGCTGCATCACAAGGTCCCACACGAAATTGTACAGAAGTGCCACGTCAAAATGTTCTGCCATTTGGAACAAAGCTCACCGCTCACCAGGTGCAGCTGAAGTGATTGAAGACATTGCCAACATGAGGTGTGTTGTCCCCTCTGTGACCAGATGGAGCTCAGAGTATCAAGCTATTGAAAAGGTAATGAGTCTCACCGAAGCCCAGCTCATTGAAGTCTGTGACCGTCTCAATGTGGCCAAACTACACCTCAAGAGGTTGTGTTTTTGAAGGAGTACACTGCAGTTCTGAAACCACTCGCCTAGTCAATCGACCTTCTCCAGGGCGAAAAGAACTGTTTGCTTGGCTTTTTGATACCACAATTCTCAGCCTGAAGGGAAAATTAATGGAGAAAGTTACACAGGTACAGTTCTCTGCGCATATAATCATGGCAGTCATCAAAGCCATAGATTCACTCTACGATTCTTTTGGCTTCTTGTCATTTAAGTGCAAAAAGAGTAATGTACAAAAAAAGCCATTTCCTCCACCACATTACCTAGTGCATATATTGTCCTCACAACTACCGTCACAGAATACACCTACAGGCATGTAAACTAGATATGAAGCTGCACTTAAATATTGCCTGTACACATAAGAGTGTTAAGCTTTCTGAGATATACACTGGCCTTTTTTAAGATTTAAGTTTGGGCTTTTTGTGCCTTTAATTGTGAGATAGGACAGTGGATAGAGTCGGAAACCAGGGAGAGAGAGAGAGTGGGGAATGACATGCAGGAAAGGAGCCGCAGGCTGACTTGAACCCGGGCTGCCCGCTTGAGACCACAGCCTCCATACATGGGGCATGTGCCCTAACCACTGAGCCACCAGCGCCCAAGTCACCTTTTGACCATGCATAATGTGTTTGCTGTGAGTTCACGAAGTGGATGATTGCACCCTGTATTGTTCTCAATGCAATTTACAATTTTTATTTTATGCACATTTAAAGCATGTTTTTGCTTTGTTATACACCTGCTAGTTAAAGCAGCCATGTTGCACTTTAACTTCTCTAATTTCTGAGCTGTGGAAATTAATAAAGGTAAAGGAAATTGAATGGATGCCATTTTTCTTTAAGTTGCACATTTGTGTTTTGTGTACTTGCATAACTTTTTCTCTGAAGACAGTAATTAGATCGTTCTCTAAAGCATGTGTTAACTAAATTCAGTGTTCCAGATAAACACGCTCAGCTAGTAGTAAGTAATCTAAAAGTAATCCAAAAGTATTTAGAATACATTACTTTACTTGAGAAATCCAAGGGAATACATTACAGATTACATTTTAGGACATGTAATCAGTAATCTGTAGGGGAATACATTTTAAAAGTAACCCTCCCAACACTGGACATGACCAAGTAAAAATTTTCTAGAGTCCAAAAAGAGACCTTCAAAAAGTCTCGAGACCAAGACCGATTTTGAGTCCTACAACACTAGAAGTTAGGCCATCATTCCTGAGGCATATATTGCTGTCAGATGAAAGCTGATGGATTGTGAGATTGTAAATTACCCAAACCAAAGTTAAGGACTGAAACACAGGACATCACAAGTAAAGATAGTGTTGCTGATTGAATTAGCTATGGCAGATGAATTAGATATGTGCAAAGACTTTATATTTATTATGTTTAGCTGGTATAGAATGTGGACTTGAGGGCAACGCAGCCCTACATCATACACATTTTTGCAGGTTTGGATTAATTCAGATAAATCAATTAATACATCTGGTTGTGTTAACTCCATGCTGCACTATCCAGACCTGAGAAAGGAGAATGAGATAAAGAGGAAGTGAACACTAACCGTTGTCAAACACACTTAATATTATATAACCCACACCACAGGAAATAAATATCTCTAGGGACGTGGTTAATAAATAGTACAGTGGGAATAGCTTTTGTCAGTGGAACATGTTATCTTTTCACTGATTAAACAACACGTTTAGTATTTATATTATAAGCAGACTGTAATATATCACTGTGATGCCTACTTTGACTACTGGGGAAGAGGGACCCAAGTCACAGTAACTTCTGGTAAGTAATAATCAAAATACATGTTAATGAATGCAGTCGATGATTTACAATGTTTAATTAAATGAATGTTGATTTATTGTGTACTCAAACCAACGTACAGTCTTCAGCATTTACATTAGGGTAAATATAAGGCATACAAACTGGTTTACTGATGAAGTACATCGATTTATTCGATGACACAAGCTCGAGAGGATTTTTGCACTAAAGTGTGATTGAAACCAATCATTGTGACTTTGACTACTGGGGGAAAGGAACGATGGTGACCGTCACAACAGGTAAAAAAGGCTCTTTCTGTCCTCATATTAAAGAAATTAGAATATACTGTTTGATTTAACATATTTAGACCTCAGTGGCTTGAGGAACATCTTCATGGTGCTCGTTTTTGTATGTTGAATGTGTTGACTCATTACACTGTGACTACTACTTTGACTACTGGGGAAAAGGAACGATGGTGACCGTCACAACAGGTAAAAAAGGCTCTTTTTGTCCTCATGTTTAAGAAATATAAACTACTGTTTTATTTAACATATTTAGCCCTCAGCGGCATGAGAAACATCGTTATGGTGTGTTTTTGTATACTGAATGTTGCGGTGATGACAAACAAATTTAGACAACAACTTCAGTGGTTGGTTCACTTTTTGTATGATAAATGCTGTGATATATAACACTGTGATGGTGTTTTTGATTACTGGGGAAAAGGAACAATGGTGACCATCACATCAGGTAAGTCAACTGCTTGTTTTGTAATTGAGACACCTTGAATACTGTATGTTATTTGTGTTTTGTTTTGGAAATCATGCCTTTTCTGAGTTGATACTTGCAGAGGTAAATATAAAAATGCAAAAGGATAGATAATATCAAAAATTACGAACCGTTAAATATCTTGATTCCTGAGAACAGGTTTTTGTATGCCGTGGTTAATATATTGTCCAACTGTGACTACGCTTTTGACTACTGGGGTAAAGGCACAATGGTGACTGTAACTTCAGGTATGTATCTTTAACATTTCTGAATTTAATGTCTTATCTGATTACTGATGCAATGTTATCTTTTTGATGTGGCCACGGGAAAGTAGCCAGCGATAAAACAGCAAACTGTTTTCTGTAGCCGGGTAAAGAGTTTGCGAAAGACTTCAAACTCCTGGCTGCAGAGTTCAGTTTTAAATTACTTCTATTCAAAGAATCAAATTTTATTTAGAATTGTTTCCTGTTGTTGACATCAAAATGTTCAACAAGAGGTTGTGGGATATTACAGTGATAGGTTTTTGTGACAAGTCCTTATTGACTGGGGTAAAGGCACAATGGTCACTGTAACTTCAGGTATGTATCGTTAACATTTCTGAATTTAATGTCTTATCTGATTACTGATGCAATGTTATCTTTTTGATGTGGTCATGGGAAAGTAGCCAGCGATAAAACGGCTAACTAATTTTTGTAGCCGGGTAAAGAGTTTAGAGTTCGGTTTACATTTTATGCTATTCAAAGATGCATATTTTACTTAGAATCTTTTACTGTTGTTGACACCAAAATATTCAACAAGAGGTTGTGGGATATTACAGTGATAGGTTTTTGTGACAAGTCCTTATTGACTTTCTTTACTGTGATAACTGGGATGCTTTTGACTACTGGGGTAAAGGCACAATGGTAACGGTGACATCAGGTAAGATTTGCACTGCAAAATGTCATTTTTTAAGTTACATTTAAAGTAGTGATACTTCAGATTTAAATGTCACTTTTAAAGTAGGATACTTTCGTGTAGTTGAACAGTAACTTTGTAAGAAGATGCAATGTCGATTGTCTTTAGCAAGTTAAATTTGCAAGAACCGTTGGTAGTGCACAAAACATAAGCAGACGTAGCCCTTTTTATATTTGAAGTAACTTAAACTTTTCTACTTCTTTTGACTACTGGAGAAAAGGTACAACTGTAACCACTACATCAGTTAAGAACAATTGAATTCCTAAATTATTTGCTTGATTTAAATAAAAGTATGTCAAGAACAAAAAATTGCCACTAAATAATTTGCCGTATATTCAAAGAATTTACATCTTCATCTATTCAGTCTAAAATATAACTCAGAGCGGTTGTAGTCGAAGTTGTAGACTTCAAAAAAATCAAACATATGAAAACCACAAAAATCATCTTACTGGTGAAAGTTAGCTCAAACAATAACATGTAAAAAAGAGAGATAGCAGATGAGATGGAAGAACTGTATGGAGCGTAGTTTCCACATCAGGTAAAGGTGTCAAAATGTATTCTTCAATCCAATGCTTTAAGCCATCTGTTAAAAGTGAGCCGACTTCTCTTCATGTGTGATTTAAGTTTAATAACAAATTTCTTTAATGATTCATTTTCATTTCAGTATTTTTTTTCTGCTCTTTTCTTTTTTAGCCACTTCATCCAAACCAACCGTGTTTCCTCTGATGCAATGCGGGTCTGAGACTGCAAACACCGTCACTCTTGGCTGCCTTGCCACTGGCTTCTCGCCCTCCTCGGTGACCTACGCGTGGAGCAAAGCTGGAACTGCCTTGACGGACTTCATCCAGTATCCTCCAGTAGAGAAGAGTGGTGTTTATACAGGAATCAGTCAAATCAAAGTGAACAAAGAGGACTTGGATGCAAAGCAGCCTTTAAATGCATCGCATCAAACACAGCAGGAGACGGAGAGGGGATTTTCATCGTGACACGTAAGACTTCTGCTCAGTCATATAAATACCTTATAGCAGCTGATTTTTACATGTAGCAGGTTAAGATGGCAGAGATGATAATATATATTATCATGCATTTTTAAACTCATTTTATATTGTTTAAATTTGCATTGATAGAAATGTACATGCAGTAAAAATGGTCGTACTTGATAGGCTCACTGTGATCTGTAAAATGTGTCAGGACATATTTAATAAATTAGAAAGAATATTTTAATTAATTCAGATAAATCAATTAATATATCTGGTTGTGTTAAATAAATATAGAATATGTTAATATTACAATGTTACTATGAAAAATGCAATAAAGATATCAAATAAATACAAATAATCTGCCTATAAAAATAGTCTACATCATGTAGATTAGAAAGATATGTATTTTACTGTACACTTAGAAAGTACTACAATACTTCTGTAATAATTATAATTACAAAACTACTACAAATACTTCTACTGCAAATAATAATAAGAGTAATAATTAAGTAAATGTTTAAGTTATTGGTGTAATTTTTCAACAAAACTGAATTTCTTTAACATGATTCTGTCAGTCTACTACAGAAATATACTCAATTTCAAAAGAATTTGAAACATAAAAGATAATAAAATCAACAAAAAACACTGTTTTAATGTGAGATACTGGGAAATATCCTTTAATATTTTTTACTTGAATAATTAGTGACTCTGGCGTGCAAACAAAAGAGTGAGGTGAAATAAGAAGGTTGACACTTTCTCATGCATATTCCGCTGCTGACTCGGTCTATTTTACTCCTTACTAATATTCTGCATGTCCTCTGCACCTGTCTACAATCACAGCATTGCAATGTGCCATGCTTGTTTCTATCCATCTGCATAATTAAAGTTATGCAGATAGATTGACCTGTATGCTGATAATTAAGGTTTGGGTTGATCCATGTTTGCTTGCTGGAGCAGTAAATATATATGCAGAAGTGAGCATTAAAGCTCTGCTGTTTAGTAATGTTATTTTTTCCTCCTGAGTCTTTCCGTTTAAAAGTGTAAATTTGAGGAGAAGCCACAAGTCAAAAAGTCAAATTAAGTTAACCTCGAAGTCGACTGCATTTTGAAAATATTGCTTCTGCATATATATCTTTGTACGTTTTATTCCCTGCTTGCGCAAACATATATTTGTGTATATCTTTGTTTTACAGTGCCGATTTATAAGGAGCCAACTCTTAAAGTGTTTTCCTCATGTGATGGGGGAGAGGAGGTTTCCTTCTCATGCTTTGCCAAAGATTTTGCACCAAAGCAGTACGAGTTCATGGGTTATGGACCTTGCATTCCTAGTGGACATAACACAGCAGCTGAACATCCTCAACCTGACGCTCCAGGGTCCTGATCAGCTCATAACAGCAGCATATGAAAGTGTGAAAGCCTTCTGCACAAAACTGAGATTGTGGAAAACTCAGCTCTCTGCCAAAAACCTCAGTCATTTCCAGCATTCAGATCTCTTGTGGAACAGGGCACAGCATTCAGTGGTGATGAATATACCTCTGCTATTGACAATCTTCTGCAGGAGTTTGATCAGCGTTTTGCTGACTTCAAGGAACACCGGGTCACTTTCCAGGTATTTGCAGACCCTTTTTCAGCTGATGTTGAGAGTGTCCCAAGTGTGTTGCAAATGGAACTTGTTGACCTGCAGTGTAACAGTGAACTGAAAAATAAATTCAGAGAGGTACAGGGAAGGCAGACCTGACTGGACAGTTTCTAAGAGAATTACCTGCATCCTTCCCAGAGCTATCCAAATTGTTCAGTCGTGTAATGTGCCTTTTTGAAAGCACATATCTGTGTGAGAAACTTTTCTCGACAATGAACTTTAATAAATGCAAGCAAATAAAATCCAGGCTTAGTGATGCACACCTTGAAGCTGTACTCAGGGTTTCAACTGTGACCTCCATCAAGGTAAATGTGGCTCATCTGTGTGAGCAGAAGCGCTGCCAGGTGTCTGGCAAGAAATAGAATGCAGGATTAATGTACTGGTATTTTGAGTAACTGCATTTTTTGGTTCAGTGCAGGTTTTATTTATTATTTCATTAAGTTATTTTAGTTATTTAAGGTATAAAGCAAACGCAAAAGACTTGCACTACTAAATAAAAGCAGATGTTTTGAAAAATGTATATAAACTGCTGTTTGTATTAGTGATGTGTGACAAAATTTTGCGGAAACAAAAAGTACATTTGCAAAAATAAAGTCCTTTTTGTGGTGCTTGAACTTTGTAGTGGCCCTCCTTTAAGTCGACAGTACTCCCAGTGGCCCCATGCCAGTTTGAGTTTGAGACCCCTGCTTCAGAGCCTGAACACCAGTAACATGAAGCCACCAGAGGGGGAGCCCTCACACCAATAATGTGATCACAGATGTTACTGTATTTTTCATAACTGTCAAAAAGTGGAGATGTGTGTTATTCTGCTTTGTGTTCTTACTGAATGTCTGCCTGAATTGAAATACCGAAAAAAAATAATAAAAAGATTAGCAAATAAAAAGGTCAATTGCCTTGAAAATTTAAGTCCATAAGTAAAGAGGTGATATCCAAATTAAATTATTTTCTAATCACTCTGAGGAGGAGTCAATGTAAATCTCTGATGTGTTCCTCCTCTACTTATGTGAGAGCAGAGAGGACGACAGAGAACAGTGGACACACAGTTGAACATGATGGACTATAGGACAGGACTGCTGCTTTTTACTGTCTGCTGGGCAGGTGATGATCATCAAAGTCTTAGTTTTCTCTTGTTGTTTGCCAACTATGTTCAATTGACTTTTTTAAATGTCTTTACAGGTGTTAAAGCTCAGACTCTGACACAATCTGAAGCAGTGGTTAAAAGGCCTGGAGAATCCCACAGACTGACCTGTTCAGCCTCTGGATTCACATTCAGAAGCTATGAGATGAGCTGGGTCAGACAGGCTCCTGGAAAAGGACTGGAGTGGCTTTCCTTTATAAGCACAGCCAGTACACCAATCTATTACTCCTCGTCAGTCCGGGGCAGATTCACCATCTCCAGAGATGACTCCAACAGTAAACTCTATCTTCAGATGAACAGTCTGCAGACTGCAGACACTGCAGTGTATTACTGTGCCAGAGACCCCCACAGTGAGAGACAAGAGCAGGAGAGTCGTACAAAAACTACTTCCTCTATTTACCACCATCAATGGGAACATTCATATTTATCATCATTAATATTGCTATCTACTGGAAGAGATGAAAATTCAGATTTGACCTACATAATTAAAACTTTTTTCCTTGCTACTAATGTTTGCAGACTTTACAAAACACTACTTCTGTTTTTCAGACAATGTAGCTGATTAAATTCTTTGTATCTGTTTGGAGAAACTGTGTCTACATTTGGTTTGAACTCCAAGCATACAGTAGAGATCAACACGTGGTGGAAATATGTAAAGATTTAAAATAATCCACATGATATGAAGATAGTACACCAACATTATTAATGAGTAATTATATATAATCACATATACACACAATATGAATTAACATAAGAAGAGTAGAAAAGCTCTTTCTAATAGCATTTCCTTATCACCTATTTATTGATTGTTGCTGCTCTCTTTGATAAGATTAATCCTAAAATGAATGAAACCAGTTATTAGTAAACACTTTCAACCAATCTGATCCTCCCCAGTATGATCACATATATTATATCTGTTATCATATGTAAAGCAGAGATGATTTCCAGTCATCTTTTCACTCTGCAGATATAAAAACAGTGAACAGACTCTCCTACTGGCTCCAGTCAGACCATCATTGATGCTTCATATGTTTGATTGTATGCAAACTCAGTGAGCTTCCTTGTTACTCAGCTATAAAAACTTCCCATCAGGCCGTCAGTGGAGTTCACAGCACGTCACTTTCAACATCAACCATGTTTTCTGTAGCTCTGCTGCTGCTGCTGGCAGCTGGATGTGAGTCTGTCTGCATCTGTCAAAGTCAACAGTTCTTCTTCTGCAGTTTAACTTGATCATTTCTTACTAAACATGTTCTCTTTTTAACAGGTGTGAAGTGTGAACAGTTGACACAGCCAGCCTCTGTGACTGTGCAGCCAGGTCAGAGTCTGACCATCACCTGTCAGGTCTCTTATTCTGTTAGCAGCTACTGGACAGCCTGGATCAGACAGCCTGCAGGGAAAGGACTGGAGTGGATCGGTCACAAATATGGATCCACCGCATACTACAAAGATTCACTGAAGAACCAGTTCAGTATCGACTTAGACTCTTCCAGAAACAGAGTGACTCTAAACGGACTGAATATGCAGCCTGCAGACACTGCAGTGTATTACTGTGCCAGAGAGCCACAGTGACACAACCCATCAGTAGAGCTGAACAAAAACCCCTCAGAGCCTGAACACCAGTAACATGAAGCCACCAGAGGAGGAGCCCTCACACCAATAATGATTAACACCAAGCACTGAACCAGGGGAACAGAGCCTTTTCCATTGCTGCCCCTCTCCCTCTGGATCTCTCTCCCCAAACACACCTGAGACTTTACGGACCTGCCACATTTCAAATCACTGATAGAAACATTATAAACACTGCTTTAGATTGCTAATGTTTCTTTTTGTACCATTGTTTAAAAGTGTTTTTCTTTAAATGCGACTCTGTACATCAAATAAATCAAATGTATTATAATTATTTTTTATACATATTAAACACCAGTTCACTTTTACAGAAAGGAGAAAAACAGCTGTAAGACATTATGAAAATACCTTTGTATTCAACAGAATAACTCAGAATTATCAGGATCACATTCACATTAGTAACTGAACCAGAGGTCTTTAGCTTCCTCTATGGTGATCTTATTCAATCAGACTTTTAGAAAATGAGATTTTAATACCACTGTTGTTCTCTGATACCATGTGACAAAATCCTCCATGAATGTTGAGAACAGAAGACACCATCAAAGAACATGATGGGGATTAACTTCCTGTTAGATGTGAATATTTTTGGTACATGTGATCACGGATGTTACTGTATGTTCAATAACTGTCAAAAAGTGGAGCTGTGTGTTATTCTGCTTTGTGTTCTTACTGATTGGCTGCCTGAGTTGATATACCGAAAAAAATAAACTAATGATTAATAACTTAAAAGGACACTTGTGTTTATAATTTAATTCCAAAAGTAAAGAAGTGATATCCAAATAAAATTATTTTCTAATCACTCCGAGGAGGAGTCAATGCAAATCTCTGATGTGTTCCTCCTCTACTTATGTGAGAGCAGAGAGGACGACAGAGAACAGTGGACACACAGTTGAACATGATGGACTATAGGACAGGACTGCTGCTTTTTACTGTCTGCTGGGCAGGTGATGTTCATCACTCATCTTTACTCTAAAAAGTCTTCTGAAAGTGTCACATCTGATGGTTTTCTTTTCTGTCTCTTCAGGTGTTGATGGTCAGACTCTGACAGAATCTGAAGCAGTGGTTAAAAGGCCTGGAGAATCCCACAGACTGACCTGTTCAGCCTCTGGATTCACATTCTGGAGCTACTGGATGGCTTGGGTCAGACAGGCTCCTGGAAAAGGACTGGAGTGGATCGCTAGAATTAGTAATGGTGGTGGTAGCATCTACTACTCTAATTCAGTCAGAAGCCGGTTCACCATCTCCAGAGACGACAGCAGACAGCAGCTGTATCTTCAGATGAACAGTCTGAAGACTGAAGACACTGCAGTGTATTACTGTGCCAGAGAGCCACAGTGACACAACCCATCAGTAGAGCTGAACAAAAACCCCTCAGAGCCTGAACACCAGTAACATGAAGCCACCAGAGGAGGAGCCCTCACACCAATAATGATCATAACACCAGTTCACTGTTGAAGAGTAAAAAATACTCATTTATAGATTCATGTAGTTATATTGCTTAAAGTAAAAGTGAAATAATTATAACAAAGTTTATTTATAATACATTTCTGGGATCTCAAACACAAATTACATAATTTGATCAATTAAAGTAATAAAGTAAGGGGGGGGGGGGGCAGCAGTAGCTGAGTAGCTGAGATTGTGGGGACTTGGGCTGGATTCTGAGGGTCACAGGTTAAGGTCATGTCCGAAATTGGTCTGGTAGCTCGAGAGGTGCCAGTTCACTTCCTGAGCACTACATAGGTGATCCTTCTTTCATAGCCTCCCTGTGTCCTTATATGCAAATTGAACTTCCTCACAGTCTGATATAAAGACTCGACATCAGGCTGTGAGTCAGAGAAGAACAGAAGCTCCATCGATCACTTCAAGTGAAACAATGTTCTCTGTAGC